TGGAACTTTGCACTTTTTTCACTCAATGGAAAGGATATATTTTCCTACAGTGCAGCCTGAGCAGATTAATGTGGAACGGTTTCATCATTTGGCTCCACATGATCGGATGGACAAATAATCTGATATTTAAATCTTTAAAATAAAGTACGGTTATACTGATGGCTACACGTAATGTTTTGCATTTTGAACATACGGAAATGTACAGTCATTTTTCATTTGCCCTAAATTGTTGCCTGTTCCATTTGATCAGATGTACACACTTTGAAAAGATTGCATCAAACAATTAATTCACACTCAGTGTTTGGCTAAGGATATGACCAACTGCCTCAATAGATCCTTACATAGCTAAGTGTCAAACTTTCTTTGAAAAAATTCCTATCAAGCAGCTATATAGATGCAAATTGTTGTCATTACAAATACACAAGATATAAATATGATACATTTAAAACAAAGCTAAATTTGAAAATAGACTAATAATTTAATAAAAATTTATCTAATAGTGATATACAACTTCCAAATTTCTGTATTTTTGTACAGAAAGTTGAATGACATTTTGGATTAAACACCGGGATATGGGTCTGAATTGAGTCCAAAACAAATGATATGAAACTCTCTATCTTGGATGTCTAGGTCCTAATAAAAGGCACTCGGGCCATCTCTAACTCCCAATGGTTAGAAGACCGTATAATAAAATGGCCCTTGCTTTCAATACATTTGCAAGAATGCCCTCAAAGGGACTGTAATGATAGGCAGTTATTGGAAACAGAAAAGTCATTTAAGCTGAGTCAAGAATTTTCTATTTGTGACATGAGGATTGAGCTGTTGTTATCAGGCAAATCTGTGGTAGGAGGTTTGGCTGTTTACATTGCTTTCAATCTAGGATATATCTGATCTAAAAGTACTTAATGCTGACATTTAAAACTAAGTGGACAATATCTCCTGTTTTACCTTACACAAATGCTGCCAGACCTGCTGAATTTCTCCAGCACTTTCTATTTTTATTATAGACAACATCTTGCCTCACAGTGAAGAATGCAGATAAAATTATTAGTAACATAACATACTTTCAATTTATTACAACAGCTCCCAAACCTTTTCATGATGGACTACAGAAGTGTGCACTTTGAATCTGACTGCCTCCATTTTCCAATCATCCTGTTCAGAGATGTTATGGCACACTTCTGGAGCAGATGGGTCTTGAACCCAGGCCTCCTGTCTCAGAGGTAGAGACCATTCCACAAGACCCCACTACTGCCTATATTTGGTTTTTAAGAATATTTTAAAGCTGCACATTTAAAGTTAATTTCAGTGATTCCTTTCAACTGTATGCATTTAAAACCACCAATGTCAATCGATCATTGTGTTCTGATTTAGGATTTATCCTTTAATTATCTCGTGGCAATGACTTGGAAGAAATTCTGGGATTTGCATTTTAATCAATAGAAACCTGTTTGTCCTTTCGAACTGATTGAAGATTCAACAGGAGGCAGTCAGCAAATCAATTTTGGGGTTGTTACCTTTCTGCTTATAAATTCTTTGTCAGTGTATCTTCTCTTCCACACTATACCTGTGGAAGGAGCAGAGCTCTGAAAGCTACAGTTTTCAAATAAACCTGTTGGACTATAACCTGGTGTCGTGTGATTTTTGACCTTGTCCACCCCAGTCCAACACCAGCACCTCCACATCCAGATAATGAAGTAACAACTTGGAGAATTGTTCTTCTCAATCCTCTATGCCTCCAAATTCAAACTCAACAAACTGGACATAGAAACACAAACAAAAATGTTGGGACAGATTGCTTGGCGTGCAGATGCATTCATTATCACCTCTACTAGTCACTCATCGTCTCATGCATTATGCTTAATTAGGAGGATATTTTTGAAAATTTCAGGAATAATTATGTTAAGCTGCATTGCAAAAGTAGAGTTTAACCTTGACAGTGCTGCGTAGCTCTATGTACTGAACCTCAAATCAGTATCAGTTATAGGATGTAGGGATCATTAATTAAACTATTACTTGAATATTTCCCCCAAACATCACTTGTATATTTGCTTTGGACTGATATGTTTCTCCCCTTCCTAGAGACATTTAAGAGTTCACATATCACTGAGAAAGCCCAAAACTTTTTGAAGAAGATAAGGAGTCTGATACAAGTTTCATATTAAGTAAGTAGGGCTGCATGGTATTGCAAAGTGACTGCTTTACATTCACATCTGATCAAAAAGTAATTAATTGAATTTACTTTGATGTTAAGATGGACTTAATACAAGAAGCTGGCATGTATAAGAATCATGGCACGTTCTGAAGAGAGTGATGGAAGTGATGATTGATACCCAGAAAGATAAGAGATGTTGACAAGATGTACCCTGACCTTACTGTAATTCTGCTTGCAATCTTAATTTGGGAATTGAATCTAGATATTATGGATTCCACAGTTAACTACATTAAGATAGGGTCAATATTATAGCCTTCAAGAAAAGTTAGGTAGAACTGAAGAATCAAAATATACATTTGTAGAAATGCTTGATAACGTACAGATTCATAAACTACCGTAAACCCTATAGCCCCAAGGATAATGAATACATTTAAATCACATATTTTGAAGTCATATTTGTTTGCATTCTTGATCTGATCAAATCAAGCTTGTCATTATTACTGTAATTTTAAGTGATCAAAGCTTTCAGTTCTTCTCCTTAGACTGATGCCTTAGTTGATTACTTTTGTCTTTTGTGTGCTCTTCCCTAACTGACCTTGAACTGGATGTCTCGCTAAGCCAATTCGGAGGGCAGATGATCAACCTCATTGCTGTGGTCCTGGAGTCACATGTAGGGCAGACCAGGTGAGGATGGCAGATTTCCTTCTGTAAGGGCAGCATGGTGCTCAGTGGTCAGCACTGCTGCCTCACATTGCCAGGGACTCGGGTGCTCCAGTCTCCTCCCACACTCCAAAGACGTGTAGGTTAGGGTGGATTAGCCATACTGCAATTGTCCATAGTGTCTAGGGATGTGCAGGCCAGGTGGATTAGCCATGGGAAATGAAGGGTTACAGGGATAGGGTGGGGGTGGGGTCTGCGCGGACTTGATGGGTCAAATAGCCTGCTTCCACATTGTAGGGATTCTTTGATTCTATAAAGCATGGTTAAATTTCTCAGCAGCTTCATTTATTACTAGCCTGCCTCATTTTTCTTGGAAGATTTGTTTTCAGTCGTGTTCTTTTTGAATTTCTCATCTATATTATTGCACCTCAGTGACGCTGACACATATCAGGAGCCATTTTGCACTTACCATACCTACTCTTCCTCAGCATCTCTCAGTTTTGCTACTGCTTCTGTGCCTTTCGGCTTTTTGCCCGAGTTCCCGAGCCAGTCATTGCTGAACCATAACGTGAGAATCCCAGAGGAACCTAGATCATCTACTTCCACCCTATCCCCACTATATCTGTCCATTCTCTGCTGAAAGCCTGGTCCATGTTTGAAATCTCTCCAGAATTGACAATTCCAATCCTGCCCGGGCCAAACCTGTCCTGCACACATTTGAACTCATTCAAAATTCTTACTCCTATTTCCTGTTCATTCATCAACCATTGACCTATGTTAGCTTTTTCGTCCATTAAGGTTTAGCTTTTAAAATTCTCAGGCTCATGTATCAGTCCTTCCATGGCCATGACTCTCTTGTCTCTGTAATTTCATCCAGCTCTACAAAACTCATATATCCATGTTCTTCCAATTCTGGCCATTTATGCATTCTCAAAACTCATCACCTCATCATTGATTGTCACATATTCATCCATCTAGGATCAAAACAGTGGAACTCGCTCCTTAGACCTGTCCACCTTTCTCTATTTATTTAAGATGCTCCTTAAAACATTTTTAGTCAAGCTTTTGATCACCTGGTTAATATTTCCTTTTTATTGACTTGGTGTTTTCTTGTCTGATGACATTCCTGAAAAATTATTGTACACAGATTTATGTTTTCAATGCACTATAAAAATGTAAGTTGTTATTTTTATATTTTCTCTTTCATTCACTTATGATATTATTTGCCTTTCATTTTATAATTTAAAAGAGTTTTCCAGCATTAACACCGTTCCATTGCAAGAAAAATGTTATTTGGCATATATTTAGTGTAATTATTTAAAGTGCTTCCTACTTATATGTTACTTGTAGAATTATGTTTTGTTCCTGTAAGAAATTGTGTGTTGATTTACATTATCCTCATTTCAGCCTTTATAAGATGTTCACAGAGCATAAGGTCAACATTTAATCATTCATGTTTTGTCAAAATGCAATATACATAATAAAACATATGGTAAACACTGTACAAATGTACCTAAAGTAATGACTCCTACAGTATGCCCATTTCATTAAATTCCTAATCAGAAAATTCAAAAAACTTGTGATTCTGTTTGAAAATGTCAGACAATTCTTCTACACTTAAAGTCTCTAACCTCATGCAGATTTATAGGTCAACTAATTGATTCTGACATGAATGCTTTAACCTGAATTTGTTCCTTGTTCTTTACTCCCGGTGTTTATAGAAATCTAAGAGCAACTGTTCAACCTTCAATTAAAAATAAATTTGGCTTCACTGAGGTTCACACAGTATTTTTGTTACATTTGCTTTACATCAGTAAATGCCATTAAGAGTTCTACCATGTGAAGATGCTTTGCCCTGATGCTATGGCACAATGTAGGTTTCATCGAGACTTAATTCCTGTTGAACAATTACACCCCTTCACCGGGGCCTACTTTCTTGGTCCCAACTCGCCCGCACCCTTCACCTCGCTTCAGCAATATTTCCATTCCTTGGTCTGATTCAATTCCAATAGTTACCACTGCTCCCAGTGGTACTGCTGGAACTGAACAGCTGTCCTCTGATTGGTTGGCAGTTCTTGGAGGTGAGCCATCTTGCCTCAGGGTGGGAGGGGTTTGTAGGGTGATTAGATGCCACAACCTCAGGGAACTGATTGGTCCTTAGTCCCATTTCAACGTCACAGTTTCTTCCTCCCAGATTGTTGTCTCATGTTTCAGCTTTGTCTCCATTTACAAACTAAAGTGAGATACCAGTCCTGGATATAAAATGAAATTCCAGTTTTTGGAGAGGGCACTGAAAGCACAATTTCATTGTCAGAACACACCAAAATAAGATAACAAAGGTGAGTCCTGGTGATGAGAATAATGCCACAATCTGTTGTGCAATTGCTGGTACTCATTGTTAACAAAGAGAGCTGGTGACATCAGTTGTATATCATTCTGGGTTTTGCTGTAACAACAATTGCAGAACTTTCAACATTCTACTGAGACTGATAGTAATGTTTGGAACTCCACACGTACACATTTAAATATGGAAATTGGAAATGGCTGTCAGTAATTCTATGCTTCTCCACAAAGTGAACTTTTGAGGTCCCTTGCTCTGGAGTGGAATTCTGAAACAATCAGTAAAATTTACTGTAAAAACCCTTGAGAAAGGGTTGCATTGAAGAACAAGATCTAACTGGGTTTGGTGAACCGAGTTCATAATCATTGTTGAATAGCCTCCCTGGCCCTGCAAACTAATTGTATATCAAATGTTTCCATTACAATAAAAAAATTCCCATTTTTAAAAACCTTTTCTTTAAAAGTTTCTTGGTATTTTAACTTCTGTCTTAATGCCATTTTAATAATCTATTTTGTAATCAGAAAGCCAATCAAAAATAAATAATATTAAGTAGATTTAAATTCCTTTCCTAGTTTGCTGTTTGACAGAAATGTGAATGGCTATTTAATCAGTTTTCTAATTTAACAGTTTCTGGATGCTGGATGATCCTCTTCGCTATCTGTCAGGAGAGGGGAAATTCTACCTCCAAGAGGACACATTTCTTGAGGTAAGTGCAATTTCTTTGCTGCTTATTACACCCATGGAAATAGACTTCCACAATCACGTGACATATGTCCTCAGTACAGACAGATTTCAGCTCCCATTATATTGGTCACTATAGCTTTAATTTTGCTGGCATTGTGTTCTCTGTGCTATATACACTCAAGAAGAGATTCTTCAAAACATCTGCGACCATTTTTATAGTTAACAAGCAGCAATCCAGCTGTGACCTTATTCTGAGTCCTGTTCAACTTCTGGTCTTAACAGGGCAATTTAACACTTGTAATTGGGTGGTTTAAACATTGATGATAACAATTAGGTTACCAAGGCAGCGCAAGGAAACAGAACTTTGCACTCCAGCGCACTGTGCGACAGTTTGTTAGGATAGAGGTTTACATAATCATTTCTCCCTCTGGTGAATCTTGATTTCTTTTGCTATCTCATGTAATAAAGTGTTGAAATAACCAAAAACGATTTAGAAAAGAAAATAGTAGAACCTTGAGCAAGCATTGTGTATTTCATAACCTACTACCATCGTTGTGCCCCAAGACAGACCCTTGGCTCTTAGTATTTCCAGATCTCTCTATCCTGTGCTATTGTTTCAGTATCAATAAATTCCTTTCAATTTCAACTCATTTAACATTGACATTCTTTTCCTGGAAATCCTCTGTCTTAAAATGTGGCCTAACTAGGTTTCCTCACTTCCTAATTAAGTCCAACAAATGTATTTGTTCATTCACTCTATTCAACAATCATCATTTGTTACTTTTTCTGTCCTGCTGACCCTTTCCTTTCTCCACATCTACATTTCAGAGATATTCCATAAGTTGGTTTCCATGTTCTTTAAGGTCTGCATCTCAAATATATACACATATGTATCATGTGAAATCATCGGGGAAGCGATGACCTAATGGTATTATCGCCAGGCTATTAATCCTGAAACTTAATGAATGTTCTGTGGACCTGGGTTTAAATCCTCCATGGCAGATGATGGAATTTGAATTCAATAATAATCTGGAATTAAAAATCTACTGATGAAAGCATTGTTGGGGGAAAAAACCCATCTGGTTCACTAATCTCCTTCAGGTAATGAAATCTGCCATCCTTACCTGGTCTGGTCTACATGTGACTCCAGACCCACAGCTATGTAGTTGGCTCTCAACTACCCTCTGAAATGGCCTAGCAAGCCACTCAGTTTAAACGCAGCTAGGGATGGGCAATAAATGCTAACCAACCAGCAATACTCATGAGTGCATTTTTAAAAAAAGTTTGTAAGATGATTGGCAGCAGGCTAGCCTGCCTACATTATATTGACAAGGCCTCAGAAATGAAAATAAAATGAGATTTAAGCAGCTAGATTTAACATGGAAGCGTAAGGACAATGCAATGAAGTCTCAATGTGATGAACCATGTACCAGCTCTGGGTTTCATCCTTCAACAAAAGCAACAAACACAATGAAATGAATTGGTAAACATGAGAGTCAAACAGAAGCCAGTGCCCCTCGATCGGGATGGAGAGATAGAGAACTAAAGGGAGAGTAACATTCATCATTATGTGTATTTTCTGACAGCCAGCTTCAAAGCAACCTAAGCTCAGTGCTAGCAATGACAACTCAATGCTACTTTTTGTTAGGAGTTGCTTTAACCATGGCAGATGAGAACTGATAGGAGGGCAACTTAAGGATGAATCCACCTTACCCAAAAATCAAAATATAGAAGATTATGTTATTATAAAATATCTATTCCAAATTTGGGTTCCCATGCCAGTAGGTTTTTTTTAGAATGGATTTCTGTAGATCATAATATACCATTTGAGGGAACTATCGTAATACACATTTTCTTGCAACATATTTCATGCTCCAATTACTTTAGTTGCTTTCACTTCATATTTGTGTTTCATTAGAGTACAGTAATAATGAGTTCAAGCATTTTATTAACGATATTTACCAGTGGACAATGAAATTCCTTAGCAGCTGGCTGGTTTGGGAATAACTGACATGTACGTTTACTGGCAACATATTCAGTTTATCATGAAACTAAAGAAGAAGCTGTTTAAATGATTTTCGATATTTTCAAATTCCTTTTGTTTTGTCCCAGTAAGTAAAACAATGCTGTGGAATATTTTGCCACAAGATGTCAGCAGTTTAGACAGTGAATGCTGCACTGCAGATAATTAGGGCATTGAAATTTTGTAAAACAAATTAAATTCGACTCCAGTACTTTTTAAATCTTGAAGTCATCAATCATGAAAGCTCTTCACATTGTGATGAAGAGCAAATTTCACCATCTTTAATACTTCCAATCAAACCAAAGAATTGGGATTAATTTTGATCGTCTATTGTTTCTATTGCTATTGAATTTTTTTGCATAATTTTTGTTTAATGTTATGTGCTGATTACACCACTAGGGACTGGCTTGGAAGAAATATTAGTCTGTAATTTTGCACCACTGTTTAATGTGATCATGTTCTTGATTTCTTTGTGCCTCAATACATTGTGGATGTATGAAATCAACCATTCCACGAGAGCAGAATATGATTGCATCAACACAAGATGAACTGTAAAGCTTCTTCATGTCATAGAGTCATACAGTCACGCAGTATAGGAACAGGCCCTTCGGCCCACCATGTCTATGTCAACCAACAAACGTGAAACTACACTAATTCCACTTATCTGCATTTACTTCATAGCCTACTATGCCTTGACATTTGACGTGATCATCCAGATGCTTCTTCTACAGTCATAGTGTTATAGAGCATGGAAACAGACCACACTTCAGTCCATGCCAACCAGATACCCTAAATTAATCTAGTCCCATTTGCCAGCATTTGGCCCATATCCCTCTAAACCTTTCCTATTCGTGCATTACAGAGGAGGAAGTGCTGGATGTCTTAAAATGCATGAAGGTAGATAAATCCCCGGGACCTGATCAGGTATATCCTAGAACTTTGTAGAAAGCTAGGGAAGTAATTGCTGGGCCCCTTGCTGAGATATTTGCATCATCAATAGGCACGGGTGAGGTGCCGAAAGACTGGAGAGTGGCTAATGTGGTGCCATTCTTTAAGAAAGTTGGTAAGGAAAATCCAGGGAACTATAGACTGGTGAGGTTGACGTCAGTGGTGGGTAAGCTGTTGGAGCGGATCCTGAGGGATAGGATTTACATGCATTTAGAAAGGCAAGGATTGCTTAGGGATAGTCAACATGACTTTGTGCATGGGAAATCATGTTTTACTAACTTGATTGAGGATTTTTTTTGAAGAAGTGACAAAATTGATGAAGGCAGAGTGGTGGACATTGTCTACATGGACTTCAGCAAGGTGTTCAACAAAGTTCCGCATGGTATACTGTTTAGCAAGGTTAGATCACATGTGATCCAGGGAGATCTAGCCATTTGGATACAAAATAAGCTTAAAGGTAGGAGACAGAGGGTGGTGGCAGAGGGTTGTATTTCAGACTGGAAGCCTGTGACCAGCGGTGTGCTGAAAGTATCGTTGCTGGGTTCAGTGCTTTTTGTCATTTATATAAATGATTTGGATGTGAGTAGAGAAGGTATGCTTAGTAAGTTTGCAGATGACACCAAAATTGGAGGTGTAGCGGACAGCGAAGAAGGTTACCTCAGAGTACAATGGGACCTTGATCAGATGGACCAATGGGCCGAGGAGTGGCAGATGGAGTTTAATTTAGATATATGTGAGGTGCTGCATTTTGGAAAAGCAAATCAGGGCAGGACTTATACACTTAATGGTAAGGTCCTGGGAAGCGTTGCCAAACGAAGAGACCTTCAGATGGAGGTTCATAGAGTTCCTGGAAGATGGAGTTGCAGGTAGACATGACGGTGAAGAAGGTGTTTGGCACACTTGTCTTTATTGGTCAGTGCATTGAAGAAAGAAGTTGGGAGGTCATGTTGTGGCTTTACAGGATATTGGTTAGACCACTTTTGGAATATTGTGTTCAATTCTGGTCTCCCTGCTATAGGAAGGATGTTGTTAAATTTGAAAGGGTTCAGGAAAGATTTGCAAGGATGTTGCAAGGGTTGGAGGTTTTGAGTGATAGGAAGGACCTGAATTGGCTGGGGCTATATTAGAACATAGAACATCTACAGTGTGGAAACAGCCATTCGGCCCAACAAGTCTACACTGCCCCTCCAAAGAGCATCCCAACCAGACCCATTCCCTTACCCCTGCACTTCCCATGTCTAACCCACCTAACCTAAACATCCCTGGGCACTATGGGCAATTTACCATGGCCAATTCACCTAGCCTGCACATCTTTGGACTGTGTGAGGAAACCAGAGCACCCGAAGGAAACCCACGCAGACACGGGGAGAATGTGCAAACTCCACGTAATCAGTCGCCCGAGGCTGGAATTGAACCTGGGTCACTGGCGCTGTGAGGTAGCAGTGCTAATCAGTCCCTTCTCTGGAGCATTGGAAGCTGAGGGGTGACCTGATAGAGGTTTATAAACTCATGAGGGGCATGGGTAGGGTCTTCTTTCCAGGGTAGGGGAGTCCAAAATTAGCAGGTGTAGGTTTAAGGTGAGAGGGGAAAGATTTAAAAGGGACTTAAGGGGCAACTTTTTCATGCAGAGGGTAGTGCTTTTATGGAATGAGCTGCCAGAGGAAGTGGTAGAGGCTGGTACAATTACAACATTTAAAAGGCATCTGGATGGGTATATGAATAGGAAGGGTTTTGAGGGATAAGGGCCAAATGCTGGCAAATGGGACTAGATTAATTTAGGATATCTGGTCAGCATAGACGAGTTGAAACATGTACAGCATGTTTCCATGCTGTACAGCTTTATGACTTGACCTAACTGGCTGCCTTTTGAATTGAGGGTCAAGAGGGGAAATATTTACAGGCTACAAATGAAATCACCAGTATTCAACTTTTAAAAATCAAACTAAAAATGAAGACATTAAAATAGAGATGCTGTGCCAGGCCGTGCGCTGTAACTGCATCATGTGCGAGCTGGTGGTCCTCATTGTGGTTCATAGTGACCACTTCTGTAG